TTATTATCATATATAAAGTCATCTATATAACTAATAACTATATAAGTTATTAGTATCATAAAGTTATGTACAGTTTTCTTATTTATACCTACCATTTTCATTACTAATCAGTTCATATCGTTTTTATTCGAGTTTTAATGAACCCTTAAAATTGATTTCATTAATAACCCGCTAATTAATTGTTCGATATCGAGGTTGTAATTACATATGACATTTATTCTCTCCCTTGATCTTTATCCTGTCAAGGGGGGGGAGGGGGGGAGGGCATATGGTACTCATGATGGGAGATGGGGGGGTTATGGGGTTGGGGAGGGCTAGGGGGGGTGGGGGATGGGGGAGGGGTCTGAGATTAGGGAGGTTAGGGGGGTATTGGTGGGGGGGGGGGTAAGGTAAGGGGTATAGGGAGGGGAAGATGTCATGGGAATTGAGGGGGATAGGGGGAGGGGGTTAGGGGGATAGGAAGGAGGTATGGGTGAAAGGGGGGGAGGGGAGAGGGGGGGGAAAGAGGGGTAGAGAGACGGGTATATCGGGGGGAGGGAAGAGGGGAGAAGGGGCATGTTAGTGGAGGGGGTGAGGAAAAAGAGAGGAGTGGGGGGGGGGGGGAGAAGGACCAGCTTACTAAAAGTACTTCATCATAAAATGTCAAATAGAATTAAATTGGATCTATTAAAAACGAAAAAAAAACGAAAAAAAAAGAAAAACATTTAGTGTCGGAAATAAATAAAGTCATTCATTTTAGTAAAATGGGATATTGACAGTATGTTAGTATTTTGATAATATGATAGTGATGGATTATGATAACAATAATGATATTGATAATGTATTAGCATTGCAATGATACTGATGACCAAATCTTCCAGTAGCAATGATATTGTTTGCAATAGTGGCATTAATGTTTAATGTTTATATTATAATAATGATAATGATAATAATAATAATAATAATAATAATAATAATAATAATAATAACAATAATAAAAATGATAATAATGATAATGATAAAGATTATAATAATGATGATAATAATAGTACTAACAAGAATGATGATGATGATGATGATGATATTTATAATAAAACATATACAATGATAATAATAGAAATGGTAATAATAATAATTAGGATGATTATGATAATAATGATAATAATAATAATCATGATAATAATAATAATAATAATAATAATAAAAATCATAATGATAATAATAGTAATAATAATAATAATGATAACAACAACAGCAACAATAATGACAACAATGAATAAGGATGATAATAATAACAATAATAACAATGATAATGATAATAATAATAATAATTATTATTATTATTATTATTATTATTATTATTATTATCATCATCATTATCATCATTACAACAATAATGATAATGATGATAATAATCATAAAAAGAATGATAAAGACAATGGTCATGATAATAATAGTAATCATCACAATAAGGATAATAATAAAGACAACAACAAAATAACAACATTGATAATGATAATAAAAATGATAACAAAACAGTGATAAGAATAAGAGTAAAAATAAAGAATATGAAAAGGAAAAATGTAGTTACAACAACAACCATAATACTGTTGATAATGATAATAACAATGATGGTGATAATAATGATAATAAGAATAATGATAATGATGATGGAAGAAGGATAATGCTTATAATGATAATGGTAATGATTATGATGGCAATAATGATAAATGGTATTAATGATAATGGTAATAAAGATAATGCTAATAATGATAGTGATAATGATTATAATGGCAATAATAATAAATAGTAATAATGGTAATGGTAATAATGATAATGCTGATAATGATAATGGTAATGATGATAATGACAACTGAAAGCAATAAAAATGACAACATTCATTCGCCCACATACAAGAGGCATAAAATTTTCTTTTCTTACCCAATAAAACAAGTTATTTACCCCCCTTCCCCCCTCCTGCCTCGTCCTTCTTCACTTCAGCTCCTTTCTTCCTCCTCCTCCTACTCCTCCTCACCCTCCTCTTCTTCCTCTTCCTTTTCCCTTTCCTCTTCCTCTTCCTCCTCCTCCTCCTCCTCTTCCTCCTCCTCCTGTTCCTCCTCCTCCTCCCCCTCCTCCTCCCCTCCTCCTCCCCCTCCTCCTCCCCTCCTCCTCCCCTCCTCCTCCCCTCCTCCTCCCCCTCCTCCTCCCCCTCCTCCTCCCCCTCCTCCTCCCCTCCTCCTCCCCTCCTCCTCCCCTCCTCCTCCCCCTCCTCCTCCCCCTCCTCCTCCCGCCCTCCTCCTCCCCCTCCTCCCCTCCTCCTCCCCCTCCTCCTCCCCCTCCCCCTCCCCCTCCTCCTCCCCCTCCTCCATCTCCTCCTCCCCCTCCTCCTCCTCCTCCTCCTCCTCCTTCTCTTCCTCCTCCTCTTCCTCCTCCTCCTCCCCCTCCTCCTTCTCCTCTTCCTCCTCCTCTTCCTCTTCCTCCCCTCCTCCTCCTCCTCCTCCCCCTCCTCCTTCTCCTCTTCTCCTCCTCTTCCTCTTCCTCCCCTCCTCCTCCTCCTCCTTCTCCTCCCCCTCCTCCTTCTCCTCCCCCTACTCCTCTCCTTCCCTCTCCTCTCCTTCCTCCTCCTTTACCCTACCTTCCCTCCCTCCTCCCTTCCTTCCCTTCCGTCCTTATCCCTCCTTTCGGGCGTGACACCGCACTCCGC